CTACACTTGTACTAAATCACCAATGAGCCAATAACGAGTACTGCCCACCTCGCCCGTTTACCCTATTCTTTAATTTACGAAATATTTTACTTTATGTTATTTTGCTATTACTAATGTTTATAACATTATAGTAATTATAATGTTTATAATAACAATAACACCATTGATATTCATAGCACTAGTAAGAAATACATTTCCCCGCCAATTTAAGGAAAGGTGAAATCGGGTAAGGCAGAGACATTTCACAAAAAATATAAAAAATGAGCACAGCATTTTCCCCATTTTTTATTCATTTTCCCCAGCGGCAATGGGTTAATGAAGATTTTTTTACCCTTATTAGGGGCATTGAGGCTTGCCCCTTCAACAAATACCCAATGTAAATTTGATTTCTCTGGTTTTCTGATCCTTGCCTCTCCTTTGACCACGGTCCAACCACTGATGCTAATACTCCCTCCTTGAAGTTGACTGTCAACTCTATCCATTCTGAATCATCCACCCAGGATATTACTCAAACTTCAGAATACTTCCCTTCCTCTCTCCCAGTATCCTCCAGTCCCATCTCCTACTGTACAGTCTTCTTCATTGTCTACCCCTTCCCCATTATTACCATTCTTCATCCTTATTTTTCTCCTCTCCACAGTTCTACCTCTCTTCTTACCACCCCATCTCCCTCCCACCCTTATACTTCTACTGCTTCCACCTCTGCAAACCTTCTGAGTACCCTTTTTGGCCCAGCCAAATGGGATCAATTGTTTATGATCCCCCCTACAACCCCTTACTCTGACAATATCCTCCTCTTCCAACAACGCCTGAAAAAGACAAGTAGGTAAAGTTTCCTTTTGCAGTCGTTCTGATCGTTCATGCCTTGTCACAGTTACATCTGAGACTCAAACTTGTGCACTATCTACTCTGACTGACTTTACTGGCAAACGTATTCCAGGCCAACCTCACTCCTAAATTGATACTTGCTTCTATCTCCCTGACTGATTTTCTTGTCTACAACAGATCAGACTGAAAATAACCTGCTTGCATTCCTTGACAATGATGCAGTGGTAGTTCACTGCTACACTCTTCCTCCCAGAGGTGAGTGTAAATCCTACACCAATATTGTGAATATTAGCTTCTGCAGACATGACCTCCCTCATGAAGTTTGAAATGGTGTAGTGGCTTCCCTGACCCACCATATTGACCTCTTCACCATCAGTGTCTGAAATGTTGGCATTTTGGCCGCCCAGCCAAACACTATCCCTCCACAGTCCACTGCCCTCTTTGTGACCAAGATTTTTCTTTTTCTACCTATTTCAAAACTGTACTTTGCTCTATTCCCCTCCCATCTTCTCAAGATGTCTTAGCTTTTCCCCTAGTATCTCTTCCCTCTACCCCAAACCATCATATCTCAACTCCTTTACTCCTCCTCCTCCTCCTCTCCTCCTCCTCCTCCTCTCCTCCTCCTCCTCTCCTCCTCCTCCTCCTCTCCTCCTCCTCCTCCTCCTCCTCCTCCTCTCCTCCTCCTCCTCTCCTCCTCCTCCTCCTCCTCCTCTCCTCCTCCTCCTCCTCCTCCTCCTCCTCTCCTCCTCCTCCTCCTCTCCTCCTCCTCCTCCTCTCCTCCTCCTCCTCCTCCTCCTCCTCTCCTCCTCCTCCTCCTCCTCTCCTCCTCCTCCTCCTCCTCCTCTCCTCCTCCTCCTCTCCTCCTCCTCCTCCTCTCCTCCTCCTCCTCCTCTCCTCCTCCTCCTCCTCTCCTCCTCCTCCTCTCCTCCTCCTCCTCTCCTCCTCCTCCTCTCCTCCTCCTCCTCTCCTCCTCCTCCTCCTCCTCTCCTCCTCCTCCTCCTCCTCTCCTCCTCCTCCTCCTCTCCTCCTCCTCCTCCTCCTCCTCTCCTCCTCCTCCTCTCCTCCTCCTCCTCTCCTCCTCCTCCTCCTCCTCTCCTCCTCCTCCTCCTCTCCTCCTCCTCCTCTCCTCCTCCTCCTCTCCTCCTCCTCCTCTCCTCCTCCTCCTCTCCTCCTCCTCCTCCTCTCCTCCTCCTCCTCCTCCTCTCCTCCTCCTCCTCCTCCTCTCCTCCTCCTCCTCCTCTCCTCCTCCTCCTCTCCTCCTCCTCCTCCTCTCCTCCTCCTCCTCTCCTCCTCCTCCTCCTCTCCTCCTCCTCCTCTCCTCCTCCTCCTCCTCTCCTCCTCCTCCTCCTCCTCCTCTCCTCCTCCTCCTCCTCCTCTCCTCCTCCTCCTCTCCTCCTCCTCCTCTCCTCCTCCTCCCCCTCCTCCTCCTCAGGTTCCTCCTACTCCTCTTCCTCCTACTCTCCCAGAAAACACCCCATCTTCTTCTTCTCCATGTACACATCATTCCCTCTTCTTTCCCCATTACTCTTACCACTCTCACCTGGATTCTTGCATGACTCTCTTATGTCACACCAGTGTCCATCTCCAGATCCCTCCCCTCCTGACATTCCTCTGGATACTTCACCACCTTCCCCTGTTCCCTCATCTCATTCTCTAGATTTTCCCCTACTCCAACCACCATTTCTACCTGTATTACCCGTTAATTGTTTCATAATGGCTTTTATGCAGTTTTCCTCACACACATACTCTTCATTTGATTTAATCACCTTCCCCTTTTACAAATTCCCACCGTACTTTGCTCCCCTATCTATACCCTTTTCACTACCATTCTATGCTACAGCGCTCTTTGGCATCTAACACATTTTATCCTAACCCAATGCCTCTGGGAATGTTTGCTGTTTGTTTGGCCTCCACTCTGGTGAGTATGTATGGCCAACTGGGCATGCCTCTGGGGCACTTGCAGTGCCACAGCACAAAGTGATGTGACTTCTTTTTGTATCACTGGTATCCTAAGCATAATTTCAGTGGCTTTACATGTTAACCCCAAACTGACGGGTCACACCTGGCGGCATCATAACAAACAGCTCGGTCTGCGGGGTATTGCTGTATGCCGCGGTGACATGCCCAGAGCACTTGGAGGGGGATGTTCGGCTTGATGTACCAGATTCCTGTGCCCAAAATCTGCTTGTTGCCATTAACCCATTGCCGCTGGGAAAAATTAATAAAAAGTGGGAAAATGCTGTGCTCATTTTTTATATTTTTGTGAAATGTCTCTGTACATACATGGCTCTGCTAGTACTTAGCCACAAAGGAGTCAATTAGTAGATCTTAAGACCTTACCTGATTTCACCTCTCCTTGAATTGGTGGGAAAAACATATTTTTTATTAGTGCTATTAATATCGATTGTGTTATTTTTATTATAAACATTATGATTACTCTAATGTTATAAACATTTGTAACAGCAAAATAAGATAATGTAAAATATTTTCATAAATCAATGAAAAGGGTGGATGGGCGTGACAGGCAATGCTCATAACTGGCTATCTATGTAGCCATCTATGTGTAAAAACTATAAAACAAGTAAACTCACAATGGGCATGGCATGTATGTACATACCATGCCTGTCTGCAATGGGTTAATTTCCAGTGTGTTGAATTTTTATTTATATTCTTCACCAGTGTTGGGTTAAGAGATGTATGATATTCATTTTAGTTGCTAGATCAGATCTGTAGTAAACTTGATTATGTACATTAGATTTCATTTAAATAAATTAGGTATGTTACAAAATACAAAATGGGATGCAGTTTTATTGAGGAAAGAAAAAGGATTTTCTCTCATTTTAGTAAATCTCATTTTTGTGAAATGATATATTGTATATAATTATATACAGTGCTGCTACTCCCACAGCTTCAGTACTTCACTTTTGTTTGTCATACTTCAAAACAGTTTCACCAGCAGAGTTCCATATGACAAAGTTACACTGGCAGATCTCCATTTGACAGTGTTAGTTGATGACACATGAAAACTGATTATGTAAACTAGAGTGAAGGTTATTTACAGTTTCATTTCAACAGATTGCAATGTTTTGGTGTGTGGCATATTCAGGCAGAGCAGGCAAAGGATTTATGTGCTAAACGTCATCCTTTATACAAAACAGTTGGATTATTTCAAGTCCTGATCTCTCACAGGTAATGCCCCAGAGCATGTGGCATGTGGATATAAGGGTACCTTTCAAAGAACAGCATAAAATATAATTCATGTATGATACTAACATGACATGATTAAGCCATCATCCACAGCCACACCCAACTTTGGCCATGATATGAATATCATGTCATCCAGAGCCATGACCAAGTCAGCCATGATGCGACCCCTATGTTATCTAGAGGTTAAGGATTAATAGATAACGCTGGAAGATACAAAATATACCCTATGCTTATATTACTAAGCAATATAAAGCGAACTGAATAAAGAGATGAGTAACAATCCATATTTAACCCACTCAACTCTGTGAATCTGTGATGGGTGCTTGTGAGTAATCTCAAATTGGTATCTATCTGTCTATCACAAAATAATACACTCTAGCATTTTACCCAGGACATGCAAGCAACTGCCATGAGTGTGAGAAGGGTGTGATTGATAAGTAAATAATGATTCTAGCTTAAAACCCAAATCCTATACTCAAGCCAACTCAAACAAAAGATGCTGATTGGAACAAATAACTTTTGTAATATAGCTCTGTTAGGTGGGTCACACAACCCTTAGAGTACAACATATAAAGAAAACAAGGGAACAGCACTGAGCAGTGGTGTGCCCAGTCCCAACCCAGGGCCTAAGGTGGGAGTTCTTGACAAAGTAGCGATGAGGCTTCTGTTGGGTCAGCCTGGGTCAAGGGCTGAGGTCACTATGCTTTTCCTCATGTGATGCTGGTATTGAAACAACTCAAGGGCATAAGCTGAATCTGCCCACACAATGGGCATCATTTTGGAAGCCATTGGTTTGCACACAATTATGCATGCCAGTTGTACTCCTTCTCTTCATCCTCATTAAGGGAACCACCTTATTCCTAGATAGGAGGGTCCTCAGACATAAAATCAAATTGAGTAAGAAACATGCAGACATCAATAACTCATCATCCTTGCATCTCAACATTCATCAAAACCATTTCCAGAGTGAGTCGTGCCGCCAGCACATATTGTGTCGCCACTGAGGTTCAGCGCTCCAGCCACGGTGAAGCCACAGCATCTGGGAGTCAGGACAAGGGGGGGTCGCCAGGGAAGTCGCACACTTCTGAGTTCCTGGCAACCCGTGCAAAGGAACTCATCACCTCACTAAAGTCATTAATGAGGAGTGAGAGTGAGTACTGGTTATGGAATGTCTTTGTTGTTAAGGATTGCTCTAGAGGTAATGTCTCACATAGAAATTGATAGTATCGTTTTGTGCATATTGCTTAATATTTGTTATTATGTATAGAGTAGTACTCGTGTAGATGTAATGTGATATTTTTTCTTTTTCTTTTCCTTTAAGAAAGACAGAAAGATATATATGTGTATATATATTTATATGTATATATGTGTGTATTATAAAATTGTATGACTATTAGCAACAGTAGTTTCAGTAGTTGTAGTCTGACAGTTTATATTGTTATTGGCTTATTGATTAACTTGCACTCTTAAGCAGTGAAAAGAAGTAATAATCTAACTGCATATTGGTTGTTGTTTTTTGTTTTATTTTAGAAAATAGGTATTGGATTGTATTGAATGAAAGATTGCTACAATTTAAACAGAACAAAAAAGCTTTAATTTCTTTGATATTGTGACAAAGTAATTTTATATGTGTTAATTATTTGTATTTGTGTATTTGTATTCATCAGTTGATATGCAGGCTGTTAGTCAGATGTTCTCCAGTAGCTCATATTCTGTGGAGCAAATCACATCAAACAGTAGACAGAATAATTTTGTCTGTCAGGTGTTTGGAAAATAGATGAACTATGTTGAATAATCAGAAGCAAGACATTCCTATTCATCATTGCAGCTGACATGTTATGTTGCATTACATTCAAAGTATTTCTCCACAGATATTTCATTTGTGGCATAAAGTTTTGCATGATTTGCCGCAGTGAAACCTGAAGCTGGGACTGGATTTAGCATTAAACCTTCTTTTTCTCCCAGTTTAGGATGCAGGATAAGACGTGATTGCACCCTGATCCTAAGGTGGACTGTTATTTCTCTGCTATATTTTGTTTGCTTTCTATATGAATTCCTATATGCTGAAATCTACTGTTCTATATGAGAATGTGTTCTGATGTCTGTTGGAAGTGTTGATTTTTTTGTTTGTTTTATAGGAAAAAGGGATGTAGAGAGTTTTATGATGATTTTTATTTTTTTTTCTCTCAAGTTTGGCTATTTATGTCATGCACATTCACTTGAAATTTCAATTCAGTTTGGCAAACAACTAGCTGATTTTTTTAAAAAGTTTCACTAAGGTAAATTTTGGTTGCAGACATTTCAAGATCTCAATTTCTTGCCCCAGATAATGTACATATCATTTCATTTATCAAATGCACAGTTCCAGTAGAGCTCAATGTTGAAAAAGTGATTACAATTACCTCTTGTTCATGAATGAAAATGGGGATAGATCATTACAAATTTGTAAGTAGACCCTATAATATTATATTAAAAAAAAAAAGAAAAAAAATGTATTTCTAGCTAGATGTGTAGCTAGTAAATAATGATATACCAGGAATATGTAATAGTATTTCCTGGGAAGGGGAAAAGAGCAGTGGCTTAACTAATTGAAATATGCTATACAGTATCTGAATTACTTACCACATTCCACTCCCAAGAAGAAGGAGTATGGCTGTAATAGGTTCAGGTAAAGTGGACCTACAAGGGGAGTGGGGATGTTGCGTGAATACTAGTGGACACTACACTTCATAATGGAAAAGTCATAGGAAAAAAGCCCACCAGATTTTGATAGGCCTCACACTATTGTGTTGACAGGCTGGCAGCACCAGGTGTGGTTTGCCTGCCATGGGGGTGACAAATAGGACTTAGGAGTTAAGGAATTATCATAGAAATTGCCTGATTGTTAGTGCAATAGTAACTCTGCTCTATGTCATAAGCACATGTATTTAATTACTATGCCTTGTCTGAGTTTGAAAGAAAGATCTGGTGCTTGCATGCTAACATGCCTGAAGGGTGTTATGCTCCGAACCTGTTTCAAATGTTAGAAATTGTATAACCTGTATTTTCCTTTCCATATTTATTTGTCTATTATGTAAAAATCCTGCTTCTTTAGCTGTGCTTTCATTTATTTTGATATTCATATTTACTTTTATATGTACTGATATTAACAGTGGTGGAGATAATTGCATTGGTATTATACAACAGTAGGCCAGGATGTTTGAGATTCTTGAAAACAATTATAAATGTATCTAGTTTTTCAAATTGCTCCCCAGAAAGTTCTACGCTGCTGCATCATCCATGAACATTTCGGGCAGCATTGGGCTCCTCAGGCTAGACTTTCATGACTTTGTGTTCTTTGCCAAAGCAGGTTTAAGATTCTGAAACCCTCTTCCACAAAGTTCTTTGGTCTTGTGGTGCATAAGAAAATGGAATTCTCTTGCAGCAGCTGCTGCAATGCTCTTTAGGGTGACATGTTTATGGGTGTCTTTTCTTTAGGTGGCTCATTATAAGATCTCTCAATTCATCCCTAATTTAGCAGACCAATGGTTGACAAAGAAAAATAGTCGATTCTAGCTATTCAGAGGAATTTTGCTGATCTAGGCTACAAAGGGTGCCATAGGAATCATTGCTTAGAAGTCTTACCTGTTGGCCTTTATGGATATTGGAGCAGATAGCTTCACCTTGCCATCTGCAGGATCTGATCATGTCTATATGTATTGAGTGACTAAGATAAGTGTCCACTCGTAGTTCCTAGGAGTACAGGAATAATCTTGTTACTGCACCCCTGTAGTGCTATTTTTGCTACAGTGAACATTTTGTATATGGTTCTTTCTTACTACCGTTTTGAATTTCCAGAATGAGTTTTACAGCTGTTTCTCAAAAAGATACACTAAAAAAAGAAAGAAAGGCAAAAAAAAAAAAAAAGCTTTTCATACACGACCCTCATTATCCAGTTCAGTAGATACTAATAAACACAAAGCTCTACAGGTATTATAGTTGTCACATACCAACATCCACGCATCTCCATATTCCAGACAGGTATGCTACGGGTGTACCTACCAATGGAAAGGAAGATGGGTGTTGTAGAGGTGAGAGGATTGAAAGAACTACCACCACTTCTAAGCATTCTGTTGCCCTTTTGTTCCATGTCCCCTTTATTCTGATGCTGCTTTGGATATACTTGTCTTGTACTAGTGAGATGTGTTTTGTTTGGTTAGGTGTGGGAAAAGATTAAGTGTGTACTAAAATGCTTGGTTGATCAGCCCCATCTTGTTTTCTCATGTCTTATTTGTGCCAATAATGTCCTGGTTTGTGCTTAGATATGTTTGTGCTTACAGATATGTATGATATGATATGATACCTTAGTGTTATTTTTTTTGGTTGAATTCCCCCAAAAGCATCCGGCAACTGTGGTGCAAAGTCCAAATGGTATAGGGGCTGTTACCCATTGGTGGCAGGTAATTGCATTGTGTACTGTAGTTTAGTTTTGTGATTTTTTTTTGTACATAGAGGGCTCTATAAGTTCTTAGTCATCAATTAGTCAGTTAGCAGGCCTACTTGACCTCACCTGATATCCCCAATCCATTAATTTTTGGGAAACAATTTTGTTTTTTTCTGATGCTGTTGATATAATTACTATTATCACTATGCTTGCATTGACACAGACTATTATTGAATTGTTGTCAACACTAGTAACAGTAAGAAATGAGATTTTTTTTTTTTTTTTTTTTTTTTTTTTTTAATCTGAGTTCAAGGTTAAACAGGTGAGAGTAGTTAGGCCTAATAAATGACTCTAGTGAACTATTGTGGGGCCAGCTATGTGTAAACAAAATTGATAAACTAAAGTCACAGTAGACATGATGCGTTTACATACCATAACTTAACTGTGGATAATGGTGGCTTAACCTACATGTCCCTGGCAAAACAGCCATGGCATGATATATGGACCACCCAACAGCAATGAGTTAAAAATATTGAGAGTACAAAGTCTTGTGTTGGTCATATGTGTTAAACCTGTTGTGATGTTACATGGAGAGAAGCTTAACATGGTCTTATAATCACAAATTTTTCATGAATATGAATTAACCCCAATGATCCAGAAGACATGACCATTACATCATGAAAAAATTTGGTCTGAGGGGTAGTTGACATGACCTTGCTATCATGGAAAAACTTGGCCGAGGGTTAAAGTGACAGGAACTTGCCATCATGAGAATTTTGGCTGAAGGCTGAAGTGACAGGAATGACTTCCCATATGTGCACAAAGCTCTTAGAGGTTGATTAGACTCATTGGGCATTTAAGAAGGGGGTTTTGCATTATTTCCAACGATAAACGAGTGTGGAATGTACCATCCGTGAACAATAACTGAGGGGTGCCAGCTACCTAGAGAGATGATATGGATGTATAATCTTTCAGTTAGCCTTTAATGTTACTGAATAGATAAACTGATTTCGTTATAAGAGATTTAAAGTTTAATTCATTATTCATTAGGCTTACCTGAGCTGCCACTCTGACAGTTGTGCAACTTGTAGCTTTGTAATGTTATTTTTCTCTTTTTCTGCATAATTGTTTTTATTTTTTATTTTTTGACAATATCCAATGTGTATATTTGTCATTTAATTTGCTTTATCCAGATGGTAATAGACTGTTTTCCTTCAACAGATGCTATATCATCTCTATAGGTAGTCCATAGCTCAGCACAATAATAACAACACTTTGTTCTCCCCCCCCCCCCCTTAATTTTCAATTTTCTGTAATACAACCTGTGCAGCCAGTTACAGCATCCAGGAATGGGATCCTAAGCATGAAAATAGCATCATCCCTGGACCTGGCACTCTTCCAGTCATGGCCTACGGACAGTACATTTCACACTTGTTTATCTATGAAAATAATGCAAAAGCCTCTTCCTAAATGCCCAACCCCCAAGAGCTTTGTGCACTTGTGGCAAGTCATTCCTTTACCCTGGCTTTCAGCCAAAATGCTCACAACAGCTAGTTTGTATCATCCTGGCCCACAGTCAAATTTTTCCATGACATCACTTGCCCCTCATGCTAATTTTTTTCATGATGTGATGGTCACATCTTCTAGATCATAGGGGTTAATAGTTTTAACTCAGCATTGCTTGATTATTATTATTATTTTTATTATTATTATTATTATTATTATTATTATTATTATTATTATTATTGTTATTATTATTATTATCATTATTATTAATATTATTATACATATATTTTTTACAACACTTTAGAGGCATAACATCTCATCTTTCATCCTGACAGGTTTCTTGTAACACTCTTTCTTTTTTTAGGTATATTGAAGCTCAATTTGGAACCAAAGAAGTCTGGGTCTGGTATGGCAAGTGGGAGCAACACCAGCAGGAGTACAAAGAGTGATGGCCACAGCTCCCTCACCACCTCGGAAGACCACAACAGGACTACCATCTGGCACATCCCCCCCGAGGTCTACTTCGGTGACAAACCAAGGGACGACAACCAGAACATTGCTGGGGGCTCCTGTAGCACTGACGATGACAGTAGCACTGCTGGTCAGAGCATTGTCGACGGCAAGGGTATGGATGCCGCTCTGAACAATAACAATAACAAGGCTCCCTCATCTGCAAGGGATGGCAGACTGCAGGTACAACCAGTGGAAGTAAATGGCAGTTCACAACCTCTCAGGTAAGAAGGCATGTTTTGTTTTGTGTATTTTCTTTTTTTTTTATTATTCATTTTTTTTATACATGCTCCTTTATGTTGGTGTAGGTTTCATCTTATTGCATTATTGTTGTTTTGTTTTTTTTCTTCTCCTTATCTTGTATGTAGACCATAAGACTATTTTTGGTATTTTGGCACTAGTTTAAGGGGACCAGTTTTGCATCATGGAGGGAGTTGAGGGATTGGCCCTTGGAAATACCAAGCATCTTGGGTATGATGGACTCAGTTTATTGTGAATGTATGTAATGTTCTTTGGAAATGATTTATTTTTCTTGCTCTTCCTCTCTCCTTCAGCTTTCTGTAATAGGAGACTTTAAACTGTAATAATCATATAATAGGAAAACATAAAAGAACAGAAATATTTAATTAAGAATTTGAAATACATTTTTTCCTGATAATTTTGCTAGTTATAGTTTCTTCATGGGTTATTTTACAGATTTGTTTTCAGTAAATGGGTGACTCAACTTACAAACTATCTATGGATAGAATAAGATCTTGACTATAGCAATTTAGTAATCAAGTGAAACCATGATAGTTATGAGAAAAAAAAGCATGATAAAGTTGTCAGATTATTATATAATTCTTCTGATAGTATTCAGATTCACTGTAGTCTTAAATATATTAGCCATAGCCATGCACACATGAAATTGACCCAGAAATCTGGCCAACTTGTAGCTCATTATATAAGTAATTCCCTTTCATTTATTAAATTCTTTATTTTTTAGAATCCCTTTATCTTGAATGACACTTCTACTCTGAACATAACTGCTTTCCTCTGGCATTCAACCCCTTTCCAAGCTATCCCTGGCATAAACCTTTGATTAATTAATTATTTATTTATTTATTTATTTTTTATAGTATTTATCCCTATTGTAGATAATTTTTAGATGTGGCTAATTGGAATACTAACTCATAGCATTGATAACTTCAGCCAGGCTTACTTGTTTTATTCATGTTTCTTGGTTGTCCTAAACCCAGCCCATCTTTTCCTCCTTTTGCCCTTTATAGGCCTACCTTGTTGGCTATACTTCATAGATGTCTATCAATGGAACATTTTACAAACTCTTATACAAAACATCAAATATAACAACAGAAGGCTTTACTATTTGCTTAGTTATTGACATGTTAGGGAATATTTGGGTACATGATAAACAGGATAGAAAAAATTGTCTTTATAAATGCATTTTTATATGAGTAGTGAAAGTTATTTATGTGACTGGTCTTTCATTCTAGATCAGTTTAATAATGTAAATATGTATATGACCTATTAGTCCATAGATTTTTTTTCCAGTTCTGTTTTGGTTGATGGATTCTTTATTTCTGTGAAATATGATTTTTATTTTATCACAGCTCTTGTTTAGTTTATGTGTTGCACATTTTCCCTCCTATACTCTAAGTTATTCACTCTTAGTTTCTTTTTCTTAGTCTGTGAACTATTTCATCTCCAGAATATGTGATGGGATATCTTATACATTATTTTGTAGTAATTGGGCTGCACATAACTTCAGATGTAAGAGAAGCAGACATGATAACTGTCTGCAGTGGGGAGTGCACAAAGGTGACATTGAAGGAACTTTAATGGGTAATATGTATGATTAGTATTCGAAGCCTGACCATGTGTGCATGTCCCTCTTTGGCAGCCTAACGGTGGTGGGTGATCCATCATCCTCCTCCTCCTCCTCTCTTGACGATCGCCGCTTCTCTTCGCTCCCAAACCGCGGCCACACAGCAAGAAACCTGAACGACTCCGAGCACCGCCTTGTCTGGGTGTAGGAAACAGCTACCTGATGATAACTCAGTTAATGCTTCCCCCTTGCAATTACTGCTCCCGGTGATAGAATATTTCTTCCATTACATTGCCTTATTAACAACAGGTGTGCAGTGTTGTACAGAATGATATTAATAACTTCATTCTGCTATACTTAACCATATTCACTGTATAACCACTTGTGAAAACTGTCTTCTCTAGTGCAAATTGTAGAGACTAGTCGCACAAAAGCAAAGCATAAGGAACAGCAGGTTTATTGTGTAAGAACAAAGGTTTCCAGGAAGTAGTGAGGGGAATAAACTCTCCTCCAAAGATAATACTTACAGGTGTCACTCTTTTTATAGTTCTTGAATAATATAACTTTTGTAATGCTTTTAGAATTTAAGCTAGAGCAAACACCTTTTATTTCACAGGACATTCTGAAACTGCAGCATATATGCAGAATGCTGGTACCAGGAAATGAACCTCTCTTATACATTTAACAAGTCATTTGCTTTAATTGTATTTTTTCTTGCTCTTTTTATGAATTTATATTATCATATGGCTTTTTTATCATTATTATTTTTCTAATGATAATGATCACAGGTTGTGGTGCAGTTGGTACTTATATATATATTTTTTGTCCAAGGAGTACCTCCTCTTTTACCAAAGATTCTTGCAGTGTGAGATTATTTTGCTTAAAAATGTACAGAAATGCATGGAGAAAACATGGGAAAATGACAAAGGGAGTGGTGAAATCTAATGGTGTAGTTTTGTTAGTAGTAAACTGGAAGAATGCAAGGTTCCTAACTCAGCTGTGGGAAAGGTACATTGAAATATGAATACATTGAAATTTTTAGGTCCATTAATAATGAGAAAGATGGTGATACTGGGTAATGTTACATAATATCACTTGTGAAGCGAGAAGGTCATCAGAAGAGGATTATGTTTTACTTTCTGTATAGGGTTGGAAAGTTACTTACAAGTAGAAAGCTGGTTTTTCATATACAAATTCATTTTTGATATTAAAAAGTGATTTCAAATTAGCTTTAGTTGTGAAATTCCTCTCCATCATAACTAATTACTATTAATTTGCCATCTGTTCATTTGTTAATATGTTATCTGAACATATACTTCTAAATAATTACATAACAGTTCCAAATGTGGAATATTTCACCTTTCATCATCCAATAGGCATTGAAGATACTGGTATATGTATGTAACTTGGGGCATCTAGTTATAGGTCTTAAAAAACAAAACAAAAAGTAAGTTGAAAAGAATACATCAGTGAGAAGTAGTGACGTTTGTGTGACCTAATGGAATTATACTTAACCAATTATCATCAGGGAATTTAATAGGTCTTGTACTTATTGTGTAGTGTGTTTTGCCAGTTTTCATTCTGTAGAAAGAAATTGTATAATATATAACAGAGAATTGTATGTTTGCAGAGGTTCAATACCTGTATCTGGACTAATGAGAGAGTAAAAGTGGATGAGAGTAGGTGAGAATGAATAAGTAAGTAAGAGAGTGAGTTTAAAAGGTATGAATGAGAATGGATATCTTCATAACACTAAACGTATTTGACTGGTTTTGATTATATCTTTGTCAGAAATACACGTTTTTCTGACAAAGATATAATCAAAATCTTGTGTCGTGAAGATATTCAATCTCATTCATACCTTTTATACATCTGTTAAAATGAATACGGTTTAGAGAGCTAGTTAGTAGTAAGAAAGAAAGGGAGTGAGAGTGTGAGTAAGTAAACAAAAGAGAAACTTATGACAAAGGAAATGAGAGGGAGAAGGGTGAATTGAACAAGACTAAGTGAGAGAGAAAGATAGAGGGTTAGAGTAAAAAGTAAGTGTGTTAAAGCGAAAGAAAAAAAAATGCTTGAAAAGTAAAAATTAAGAGTGTGAGAATGAAAGTAAGAAGAAGGAAAAAAAAGGCATATAAGAGAGTGAGTGAGTGAGTGTGAGTGTGAGTATAAGAGAGTGTGTGAGTGTTAGTGTGTATTATTCTAACCTTTGCTCTGTCAATGTGTCTTAGTGTGCAAACAAATTTGCAAAATAGAAAAGTTAAGTTCAGGTGATTTTGCCAAAGAATAACAAAAGAAATATCCACCACTTTCTATAATATGGTTCATGGATAAGTGATCTGTCTTCTGTATCTGTCTGTTAATTTAAATGTGAATTATTTATTTATCTATTTCTGCTGTGTTGTGATGAAGCTTTGGGATCTCATGTAAAGGGTGTTGTGATTAAAAAAAAAAGAGAGAGAGAGAGAGAGAGAGAAAGAGAGAGAGTTCACGTATAACAAAATAAAAGAGGATTTGATGTAACAGCAAATCACACTTTGCTGTTTCTGTCGTCGATACCTCTGTGGGTAGCTTGCTGACTGGCTTGATTTGTTATCTAAGGCATTCAGGTCGTATCTTGGGGGGAAGGAAATGCCACAGGAGGAAAATGGTTTTATCCACTTGTGCTTGAAGGTCTTGAACATTTATTTATTTATTTATTTATTAACATTAAGCTCTTATTTCAATTGTTATTATATTATTGATTTGTTATTAATATCATCATTATTATTATGATTATGATTGTAATTAATTATAATTATGATTGTAATTGATTATAAATATAATTATAATTATAATTATAATTATAACTACAATAATGATGATAGTAATAATAATGATAATGATAATAATATACACTATTATTATTATTATTATTATTATTATTATTATTATTATTATTTTGTATTTGTATTTATATTTGCATTGCTATTATTTGTATTATTCATAATATTTAAGTTGATGGTAAATGTTACTACATGCCATCTTAGTCTTCAAAATTAGTTAGTAAAATATTTTGACAGAATGTAGAGAAGGCTTGACAGGAAGTGTAAATGAATTTCCAAGAGACATGAACCATGCAAAAAGCATGTCATTTCCTGTCTTTTGAGTTGTCTCATTTTCAGGTTGCGGTAAGTTGTTTTGTGTGATAGAAATGTATGGAAATTGTGTTACAAATACACAAAAGAAACAAAATTTTTTTTTCTTTGTTTTTCAATTGTTTTTCATTATTTTGAGATTTATTCTTTGTATATTCATGCTCTTTACTTTTTTTTCTCTTGTTTATTTACTTCTATGTTTTATCTCCCTTCAGCGGGCATTGAGTGAGGAGGCATCACATATTGCAAGGACAGATTCCTCTTTCATAGCATGATCCAAGTCATGCTGTTATTGCATAATTTCAGTGTTGTATCATGTTTTTTTTTTTATTATTATTATTTTTTTTTGCAAATGTAAAAAATCAAGCCAAGTGTATATAAAATGTGTTCATGCTTGTTTGCAGTTTGTACTGTGCTCCATTTTTTTTATATATATATATTTTTTTTATGAATTTCTTTATGTAGAGTAATTACAAAATCGAGATATGTATTATTCTTTGTCCATTAAGAACCCATGGGAGCACTGGTGACAGTCAGCTATATGTATTTATGGTAAATATTGATATTGATCAAGCAGATGGTTTGATTTGAGAAGCAAAATACATATTTGGTGTTTTTTTTCCCTCAGACATAATATTGATGGGAATAAGTAAAGGTAATGGTGCTACACTTCAATTTTGACAATTGTGTGGAAGAAAACTGGTGTTATTCCTCATATTTTGACAGGAAGTTCATAGAATATTAACTGAAAAAAAGAATAGGAGGTGCTTTCAAGGTGCGGTTTGTGAGCAGCAATAAATGTAAGCCTGATATTACATATGTATTTGAACAGTTATTTATTTCACAGGTTGTAATGTATCCTTTAAAATGCATAATGGTAATACTGTAAACTCATTTATTAAAGGTAATCCAGAGCCTTTGCAGCTTTCAAGTAAAATGTCTGTATAAATGTAAAATATTTACACAAGTTTTTATGTTGAAAGATAAAAAAAATGATGTCATTAGGGGCAGCTTAACATAGATCTATATCCTTTTCTACATAGATCTATATCCTTGTATAGGAATAGACTTGAATATCCATGGTATATCAGCATTGATTAAGGCTTCTGTAAAGAAATGTTCTCTCGAAGCTCATGAATGCTGTATCAACCTGATGACCCCAGAAGTGTATGTATACATGCACTGTCCTCTGGTTTAATTTCAATCAGTTTGTTTGCTCATAATGACATACATGTTTGGAATGCCATTAGTTTGTAAATGAAACTGCAAAACAAAACTACAGTGGGCAGTGCATGCACCTGGTACCAGTGGGTTAAGAATTGACCTTTGAGTATGAACTGGGGAAAGAAATAAGTAATGAAAATTTATTTTATTTTCCTGTTGTGCCAATTGTGTACATTTGTTTGATATTAGTGTTTATTTGAAGAAAACTGTACCTTTTCCCAATGAACTATTGTAATGAGTTTTGTATGTATATTATTATTTTTTTCTTCTACCAGCACCATGTAATTCAAAGCACTGAAAATTATATATATAGTTGATACAGTAGATCACCATTTGCACAAAGTAACATTTTGTAATGTACAGTTAGATTACACTACCCAGTTCTGTTTTGATTATTATAGAATCTCTTTTGAACATTATGTTAGTATTATCATTGTTTATGTTTTTTAATAATTAATTAAGAAGGCGAAAATAGCTGAAAGAATTGTGTTGGGAAACAAAGATAAAAGTTTGTCTTTGTACATGTAGCACACATACAATGTTTTGATAAAGCTATTTGCCTGTCACCCCTGAATCTCATTAAATGACAAAAGTGACTTTGGTAGACAGTGATTGAAATATTTTGTATGTGTTTTTTTATACTGAGATTTATGGTTGATGATATAATTTCAGGTTAGAGATCTTGCAAGTTTTGTGTTTGTGTGATTTTTTATTAGCATGTTTTGCACCTTTTTTCATGTTTATCATAAGGGCTGCAGTTGTAAAAGAATAAGTAATTAAGCATATTTTTTGTGTATGACAATATGTGCTGGTTACACACCCACTCTCACATATTACAGCTTTATAGATAACTTTAGTGTGCAAGCTCACTCACAGAGTCTAAAAGGAGCCACTGTTTAATGCTCTTTTTAGCTCCCACTTATTATTGTATAAAAAAAAAGAAAAAAAAAAAGAGGGTAAAAAGTCCAAGCAATTAGTCAATTCTTGGAGTTTTTTCTTTCACCTACAAGCACTGCATATTCTATATTAAAGGATCTGTATGCAATAGACTCAGTGATAAAGGCTTATGCTGTAGCTAATATTGTACGGGGATCCACTTCCCCTGAGGCTCCCTCTCTAACACTTGCTAGGGTGGTTCTGTCCTCCAGATAAGCTTACCAAAGCAGTCTTGCCAGTATTCTAGAAAGCAAAATAGCAGTATTTTTTATAGTATTAGAAATAAAAATGTGAAGAAAGACTGAATTGTGTTTATTTTTTATGTCTTGATTCATTTTCTGTGGTGATGATTTATAATTAGAATACTGTAATGATAAGGGTAAAGTTTGTGTGTGCCTTTATTTGGGTTGTTTTCTGTGTGAGAAAGATCTGAGGTTTTTATCAAAAATATGATTGTGGATAAATTGATAATGCTCAGTAAATGCGAAATATTGAACTCTCCCCATCATTTTCTACTTCCATTTTCTTCAATAAGAATATGATACTTAATCGAAAAAAGGAAACTGAGGTGGAAGGAAACATTTTACCCCACATGTTTGCTATCCTTTAAATGATTAAAAGGCATGCTATGAAGCATAATACAGTTTTTTTGGTCATATTAAAATCATTATTCTGTATTGGATTTTCTTCATACATCCTAAAGCAATACAAATCAAAATTATGACAAAAGACTTTGGCAACGGTAAAAAGGCAATCCATTTTTTCCTTGACATTCCTGCATCACAAACCAGATTGCAGTTTATGTTGCAAGAGCTCTTTTATTGGTTGATTAATCTTTACCTCAGAGTTTAGCAATTTTGTTGTTACTGTATTTTTCAGTGCTGGTTATTGAACCAACATGTTCTTTTCTCTTCTTTTTGTTTTATTTTGTTATTATTATTATTATTGTTATTATTATTATTATTATTATTATATTTTTAAATGCTTTTTGTTTGTTTTATTTTGTTTTATGTTTTTTTTTTCAAATATTCTATATTTTGTATTTTAGATTTTAGATTTTAATTTTAATTTTGATTTTAATTATATTTTTTAAATTTTAATTTTGATTTTAAATATATTTTTTAATTTTAATTTTATTTTTGTTATATTTTATATTTTATATTTTACTCTATACTCCAGACTCTATACTCTGTACTCTATAATCCATACTCCAGACTCCATACTCCATACTCCATACTTTCTGTTCTGTTCTACAGTTTGCTGCATGTCCTCTAGTTCACAAATATGAAAGGAATACTCATACCATTCAACCCGGGAGCGAAAATGTTCCTTTGACAGAAGGATAGACATTTGAATTAGACACACAACGTATTGACTAAATATTCAGACTTACAATAGATTTTTTGTAATGAGAGTGAAATAATTTTCTGAGAAAGATGTACTGAGGAAGACCTTCTTAGTTGATAATGCATACTAAATTTGACATGTATTAACAAGGCTTTTGGCAAATAGGTGCCTTTCAACAAATGCAGTTTGCGAATGCAGGCACAATATGGTAGCTTTAGGTAGCAACAGTAGGATTTACATAATCATTAACTCAACTATGCAAACCATATTACTCTAATTAGCAGATATTTTAGCAAGTTAATTGAAATGAATTGTCATAATATTCGCCACAATAAGTATCTATCTGATTTTGTGGAGGTTCACCAGTGATTGTATTGATTTCATTTTATGTTGCAAATAGATGCATAGAGCAAAATCAAAAACGGTTTTGTTAAAAATAAAAGGGAGATAGAAGTACATAAATATATACTGTACATTTAATATTGCACAGAATTAATGCATGGAATAAATTACAAATTGCTGTTATTTTTATAAAAGGTCCGCTAGGGATTATTTTTTTTATCAATCTGCTGGATTCAATCATGGATTAGTATGTAATGACACTAAAACATTTTGGAAGAAAGTTTATTTGTTAAAATAAACGGAAACAAATAAACCATGCAATGCTAAACAAACAAACAAGAAGACTGACAGATGAATAACAGAGCTTTTGAAAATCAGTCAGCATATATATTGTTACACAGTTGCTCTTTTTGTATATTTCCGTGTTTTGCAGCTCTGAATCAGATACATTTTTAATTTGAATGGTCTAATTAAAATGCACAGTTCATACCGGACCCATGGTATATGATTTGTGTTGAACGTCATTCAGTTCAACTTTTTTTTTTCCGAGGGGTAAAATGCATGTATTTGATATTAAATTAGTAAATAATGATTCGATTAACCGTATGTTAGATGGGACACATCACAAACTGGGGTAAAATGTTTCGAAAGAATGGAATATTGGATTTTAGAATGAATGTTTTGCATTGGTTTTGTGGAGCTATTAGGTGGAAATGTAAGGTTGGTGGTGGTGGTGATAATAACGGGATAGTGATGATGATAATAATAATGATAATGATCATGATGATTATGAAGATCATAGTCATGGCAATTATAATGATCATTCCTATTATAACAATAACAGTAATGATTAGGACATTAATTATAGTAACTGTAATGATGATAATGACGATAAATAAACTTAATGCTAATAAATCCATAGATAGATTTAGGCCAACAAAACGAGCGTAACACCGTATTTCGTGGAACGTAGACACCGATACTTGGTTGCGTGTCTAATTGCTCGGTGGTGTGCATGTGTCTCTCTTGCGGTGGTTGGCTGTAAACGCTTCTGGGGATGTCTTTTGGCCTTTTATATCGGTTTTCTCGGTCTTTCTCTTATTGTTGTCTGTCTCTGTCTGCATGACCAGAAGTCTAGAATCTCTCTCTCTCTCTCTCTCTCTCTCTCTCTCTCTCTCTCTCTCTCTCTCTCTCTCTCTCTCTCTCTCTCTCTCTCTCTCTCTCTCTCTCTCTCTCTCTCTCTGTCTG